GAAATGCCAAGGTAGATTTTGTTGATCTACTTTTATAAAAGCAAACTTTGCTTTAGGCTGCAGTCTTGTACAAATGTACCTGAAAGTACGTCCGATGGAACTCAGTAGGACTTGTGAATAGACATGCATAGGATTTTGCTAAAAATGTGTTTTTCAACAAGGGAAAATGTATTTAGAAAACATGGCCTCAGCACATAATCTTTTAACGTGTGTTTAGCTGTTTATCATTTCCCGTTGTGTTCCTTTCATAAAAGGCCCCCTTTATTATGTGATGCTGTATCATTTTGTCCACTGACATATACATTTTTAATACAGAATTTTAAAAGAAAAAGGAGACTTAGCAGATGGACAAGGTCCTTCCGATTTTGAACCTCAGCAGACTCTTTGCTGAATTAAGAACTTCATTGGCATAGCCAACTGCACCCAAACTGAAGACATATAGAACTTCATGTCCAGTGCCCAAATTTGGTCTCCTGGGAGTTCCCCAGGAGTTCCTGGGTTACTTGCAGCCCTTCCCTTAGACCACGTCTTTCCCAGCTTGGGTGCAGTTTCCTCCCCATTATACAAGGTTGAAATGCCACTCCCAAGACTTCAGGCTGCAAAGTGCCAGCATTTTAACCCAGCCTGCTTATTCTTCTGGTTTGCCCATCACTGGAAGGTCATCCAGTTCTAGGCACCAAGCTTTTGTGTCCAGTTCTGGGCACCAAGATTTAAGAAAGATGCAGGTAAGTTAGAAAGGGTCCAGAGGAGGGCAACAAAAATGAACCAGGGTTTGGAAACACTGCCCTTTGAGGAGAGACTGAGAGAACTGGGCATGTTCAGCCTTGAGAAGAGAAGGCTGAGGGGGGACAAGGTATCCCTCTAGAAGTACCTCAAAGGCTGTCACAGAGAGGAAGGTCAGGAGCTCTTCTTGCTGACGCCAGAGTGCAGGACACGGAATAATCAAGACAAGTGGCGACAACCCAGATTCAGGCTGGGCATCAGGAAAAGCTTCCTCACTGTCAGAGCAGTATGACAGTGGAACCAGCTGCCTGGAGAGGGTTGGGCTCTCCCACACTGGAGGCATTAAAAAAAAAACTGGGCAGCCACCTGAGTTGGATGGTGTGACTTGGTGTCCTGCAACAGCAGGGGGTGGACCTGATGGCCTTTTTGGCCCCTTCCAACTCCATGATCCCAGGAGAGCTGCCCCAAATTCATCGAGCCTCAAGTGGGTCAGCTCCCCTTTGGTAGGCTGCCTATTCTATTTGCAGAAGTGCTGCAAGGGGGGCATCCAAGCCAGCGCAGTGTCCCTTCAAAAGCAAGCGTCACTGAATGACCAGGTGAGGGGCCGGGTCCCAGAGCAGGGAGGCCAGGGGTGCGGCTGACCTTCTCCAACGAACAACTTCCCCTGACTGAGGAACCAAAGCCAGGGCAGCACTTCTGCAAGGCCAGCCCAGGCCTTCTTGGTTCCTCCGGCTACCTGGGTGGACAAAGAGGCCACCCATCTCTGGCCACTGCTGGGGGAGGTGCTGCCACAGAGCAGAGAGGCTAGAAATGCCCCGTGCCTCAGGGCGGCCACAGGCCCTGCTGCACAAGGAGAGAAAGTTTGAGGACAGGCCTTGACATGAATTGCAACGGCGCCAGGTTCTGGATCCCTTGCTCACCTGGAAGGATGCATCCAGGATCACCTTTGACCTTCCACAGCACCATAAAAGTTCTGTAGATACAGATGTTTCGGTGATCGAGACTGTGTTGAATTTTGGCAGAGTGAATTAAGTGGGAGCCATCCCTGAAGGCCTTCAGCCCTCCTTCCCTCTCTTCCCACAGGCTAAGAAAAAGCTTGCTGCCGGCCTGGAAAGGTGTATGTGCCCTGTTGAATAAGTGCATTTCGTGCCAGTGCCACCGGGAATCCAGCCTCGAGGGTTCAGCAGACAAGAAAGAAACAGTGTTAATATTTGTCTATGGTGCACGGCAGAAAAGAAGTTCCGGCTGAGATATAGAGATGCTTAAAGCTGATACGGTTTTATATCTGCAGCGGCAGGGCAATTGCAAATACTGGCTGTAGCAACGCGTCTGCCTTCTGGAGGCATCAGGGTGACTCTGCAGAAATACTGCAATCCAAACGGGGCATTGTTCTTTTCCGATCCAATAATGGGGAGCGAAGGGAATCTGTTCTGTTGCCAAACATGCATTTTCTGCATTTGGCACCTACAGCAAGTTGTGCAGAGACCGTTTTCCTGCTGTTCCCCAGGAAAGGGATTTTAATCTATCCACGGGCACCATTCATTGTACAATGGCCCCAATCCTCTGTATGTTTACCTAAGAGTAGATCCCACTTAAGATCCATGGGATGGATGTCCAGGGAACAGCTCTCAGAAGCGGAGCTCTGGTAAGTCAGATGCCACAGAAAGCAAGCCAGGGACTTGTGGCACATCAAAAACTAATACATTTGTTACAGGTAAAGCTTTTGCAGCATTTCTGGATTGTGTTTAGCGGAAGCTGTAGGTATTGCTGAGCGCATGCACAGAATCTGGCCCCAGAGCCGTCGACCATGGCACAAGAGAGGGTGTACATCTATGTACGTGTTATAAATTATTTAGTAATCAGTTATCCAAATAATCACTTATCTAATAATCAGTTATCTGAATCAGTTAGATCAAGGATGTAGAACCCCTTCCAGGCCAATTACATGGCAGAGAAGCACTGGGGGAGGAGCTTTCTGACTGTGGGAGGGGCTGAACACAAGATGGGTGGGGCCAAAATGCCAGCATGGCGTGACTTGAAGCTCTTGCTGTCAGTAACGAAGCCATCGGAGAGGCAAAGGGCTGGTCATCAGAGCAAGGGGGAGGAGCCACCTCGGGCAGCCCGAGGGCCAAACGGGGCTTCGTCTAGCACCGGGCTTGAGGTGACCCACCCCAGAGGTGGCCCACTGATCAGATGAGCCTTTATTCAAAGGTCCTTCCAAGTAACAGGAAAGCTGCTTATAACATTTAAAAAATGCTGATAAGAAGTCAAGACGACAGACGCCACGTTCAGTGCGGCATCTCACTTTACGGACGCATGCGCAGAGTGGAGAATGGTTCACCCCTCAGGACCAGCGACCCTGTGCGTTTTCCACGGCGCATGTTCTTTTGCCTGGATGTGCCCGTCGGAGGATCCGGTGCTTCCTCCGCTCGTGTGGTTTCCACCCGCCTCGCTCAGTCCTCCCACTGGGGCCACGTATCCCATCCGCCACCATGCCTGAAATTCAATCCTCTGCTGGATGGTTGGGGCAGTTCCATGAGCAGCAGCAGCTCTTTCCAGTGGACTCTGCGGCGGCTGCCCACTAGGACTGCCAAGGCTGGCGCAACATTGTGGGTGAAGAATGGAGCGGATACAAAAGCCCGCAAGAGGAGGAAGGAGAGCGCCGTTACACTGCAGAGACCATACACCGGAATGGCTTGCATATATTCAGGCACAAATCTGCACTTGAAATCAGGTTATTTAACAGCATGAATTTGTGTACGGTGAAGGAGAGGGACCTGCTGTCGTTATTTCCAGACAACGGGGAATCAGGAAGTCTTGCCAATTCACTGGAAATCCACTAGCGATCTACTGGTAGATCTACATTCCACCTGTCTCTGCTGTGGAGCACGTGTCAGGTCTTCCCTACCATCCCATCCACAGCAAACAACACGGACTTAGATCTCACACAAGCGATGAACCATCGCCTGGGTGTTACCAGGTAGGGACCACACATTGCAACGCTCATCCCTTCGAACTGCTCCCCGCACATAGAAAACTAGGGTGTCAGGCTGGACCCCGTCTCCTTGGTATGCTAGCTTTCCGTGTGCAGGGAATGTTTGCACACAGAGGTCCATTCGGGTGCGTCAGTCCCTGCCTGCTGTCTGTGCAACTCGGGCATGTTGACCCCCTGAGTGAGTGCATGGTCCTAAAGCAGGGAGGGTTTTTGACAACAATATGGCACTCCCCCGTCTTGTCCAGGGCCTCTGCCCCAAATGTTGGAGGCGACACAGGGTCCTGGTAAATCAGGTGCCTTTCCCAGCCTGTCTTTTTCTAAGGTGGGACCTGCCTGAACAATAAAATGCTTTCCACTGAGTTCTTCCTTGCGCTCTGGCCAGATCTGTGCTCCGCATTCACTAACACCTGGGATGCTCCTGTTCACATTCACGCAACATTGAAGGCAACTTGGCATTTCGGCATCAAGGTTCGCAGCGTTTGGCTCACAAATTTTAGAAATGGACAGGGGACCACTCCATGGTTGAGCATTTGGTGCACTCCAAGGTCAGGTACAAATCATACAGGTTTTTACTTTCCCAGTGGCTCACTGATCAAGCGATTAAAAGAGCAGAGGACTCAAGCGATGAGTGGATACTGCCCTCTGGTGGTCATGTGTAAAGTAGCTCATTCTCTCCTTTCCAACATACAGTGGTACCTTGGCTCGCGAATTTAATCCGCTCCAGGACCCTGGTCGTGACCCAAATTGGCCATGAGCCAAGTCAAATTTCCCCATGAGGTTCAGTGTGAATAAGGTTAATCCATTCTGTAACCATTTTTTTAATCAGAAAAATGTGAAGCAAAGTGACAACAACAAAGATCGCAGCCATCTCCAGCACGACTGCGATGGCACCCGTCATCCCTGCATGCTGGGGGGGTAGAGACGGACGTGAATGCGGGCAAGCTGGGGCAGGGGGGAGATGGCTGAGATCGTGGCCGCACTCATGCAAGAAAGCCAGGCGCGATCCCTGGCTGCTCGTGCGGGACAGACGGGCGTGATCTTGGCCATCTCCACCCCCCAGCATGATCGCAGCCATCTCCCCACTCGGGGGGGGGGGGGGGAGCAAACGGCCGCAATCGCAGTCGCCACCCAATGCGGAGTTCATGACCTGAGTCAAAATTTTTATGAAATTTTTGTTCACCACCCGATTTGGTCATGAACGGAGGCATTCATGAGCCGAGGTACCACTGTACCAAGATGCCGTCTCCCACCTTTTCCCTCAGCAGCAGATTTAGATGAAGCCTTAGAAGCACAGTCCTTTATTGGAGCTCTGAAGGTTGCAACGCAGCATAAATCAAAACAACAACTTGTTAGAGATGTGGGAGCAGCGTCTGCCCATGGGAAGAGTTGAAAGCAAACTGAAACGCTTCCTGCTTCTCAGGAACATCCCGACTCCCCCTCAATTACCACCCCACCCTGTTCGGAAATGTCTCCCCCCCTTCCCAAGGTGGGCTGGCTCTCACGCTTGCTCTGAGCATCTTCACTCGGTCCCCTTGGCACTGCCTCACCTGCCTCCTCTCTGCCCTTCTGCCACCTCTTCTGAATCTGAAGAGCCTTCCTAGGGAGGCAGTAACTTGAGAGCTGGACCTCTCTCTGCACAGCCCAGTTAAGAAGCTGGACCGCAGCATCCTTCCCACCTGGGTCACTTTATGGTAGCAGTTATACATCAGGCCAGTGGAAATGTCCTGCCCAGAGCCCTTGGGATGGTTTCTGGCTTGTCTGGCTCTGCAGCTCCTCCAGGGGTGTCTTTCAGGGATGCTGGTGCCCCCTGCTGGCTGCTGCAGAGTGGGCTCCCAGAAGGACTGGCTGCATAAACAGCAGTCCTCCTTCCGTGCCAGCCCTTGCCCTGCTGTGGCGACGGAGTGTCCAGAAAGCTCTCAGGATGGACTCTCTTAATGAAAAGCCATTGCTTTTCTTAAGGGACAAAGGAATTGGGGATATGTGGCCACATTTACAAGGCCATCTTTTCAGTTGCCAGCACCTGGCATCACTGTAGTTTAGCCTTCCCAACCTGGCCTCTTAAAATGGTTGAAGCTCAATTTAGACTTTTGACCAGACAAGGGGAAGTGAGCCCTGCAGAGAAGTGACTGTACTGAATGAGTCTCAGTATCAAGACAGCTCCTTACATCCTCCAATTAAACCACCCAACTATAAACACAGCCTACTTTCTTTCACAATATTACAACTGTTGGTGATTTCCTGAATCATATTGCACCTCGATGAATTAACAAATCAAGGTATGCCTGGTGCGTATTTTGTGAAGACCAAATAGTCCATCTATTATTTCTAAGCAGCACCTATTATATTATATAAACAAGATACTAGTCCCTATGATTTTCAGGAAAAGAAAGCATCAGCTCGCGTGATCGCAAGATCTTCACAGCACTGAACATGGTTTTTAAAAGGGGATGGGTGTCCCTTGGAAAGCATCGTTTTACGAATGAGACCAGGCAGGCTTGCGTTTAGAGAGGAAGGCCTCGATTCCTTCCTGGCCATCTTTGAGGGCTAGGTTGTCCACCATGACCTGAGAAGTTATTCTGTAGGCAGTGGCAATGTCTTTTTCAATCTGCTTGTAAAACGTGGCTTTCCCCAGAGCCAAAACGGACCGGCTGCTCTCACAGATCTTGCGGGCAATTCTCACGGTCTCCTCTTCCAACATGTTCTCTGGTACCACTCTGCTGACGAGCCCGTGCAGAAATGCGTCCTGGGCCGTCATCGGCTCTCCCGTGAACAGCATCTCCAGCGCGACCTGTGTGGAATCATTGCAGTCGGAGAAAAAGCCTTCCTCAGACTTGCTTCCTTCAGGATCTCACTAGACGCAGACCCGCTGTGCCTATCACCACTGGGCACAGTGCCCGATCTCAGCGGGGGGTGGAGGTGCCCCCAGGCCCAGAGGTGCAGTGGCTTCCCATGTGCTCTGAAGCCGGTGGGTGTGGCTTGTTCAGACGGGGGACCCGACCTGACAGCCTTTTCCCAGGCCGTGGTTCTGGGTCATTTGTTCACCGCCACAGCCGCCCTTGTGCCGAGCAAACCAGCCCATGGGTGTACGGAGGTGTGCAAGCACACGTGCGTGTGTCTGCATGGCTGGCAATGACCGCAGACATGTCCCACTTTCGGAATAGGAATCTCATCCCCTGACACCTTTCTCCAGGCACCTCCGTGTTTGAGGAGTCAGGGGTCAGGCCAAGCCGTGCCACCCCCTCCCTTCCACACCTGTCAGGCACCCCCCATTGTGCAGGCTTGGGGTCAAGTTGAAAACCTGGTGCTCACTGCAGCCTCCAGCACGCCCATTCTGTGCACCCACTGTAAGAATCGCCTCTTCTTCCTTTCCTTCCATTCTTCGGGGGAGCGATTCTACACTCCTAGAACGAAGCTGCATGGAATCCATCCCTCTAGGGCACTGATGGCAAACCTTTTAGAGACCGAGTGCCCAAACTGCAACCCAAAACCCACTTATTTATCGCAAAGTGCCAGCACTGCAATAAAACCTGAATACTGAGGTTTTCGTTTAGGAAAAACACCTCACGGCCAGTCCAAGCAAATATATATATATCCTTGGCAGCACACTGACCGGCCATGTGAAAACTCGGACGAGTCGCTGCTAATGAGTTGTGGCTCGTGACGTCACCGCCTGGTGCCGCTACTCCTTTCCGAGCATGCGCATGGCCCCTGTGTGCGCTGCTATCCGATGCTCGGCTGCTGGGGCGATCCTGGAGCGACTTGGTTCGCGTGCCGACAGAGGGGGCTCTGTGTGCCCGCTGCTCTGCGTGCCACAGGTTCGCCACCACTGCCCTGGGGTTCGTGGACTCCTTCTCATGCCTGGCCTGGTCTCAGAAAGTGAGCTGAGCTGAGAGGAAGCTCACAGACGTTTGTGGAATGAAGGAGGCCCAAGGTGAAGCAGAAGAGGGAAATGACTTGTCCAGCGGTCGCACGGGGCTCAATTCCTGACAAGCATTTGCACGAATGCTCGGCACGCTCACCAGAAACTCGGACTCCCAGTTGTGGCAAAGCAGATGACAGTCCAGGGAGCCGAGCCCAGGGAATCCCATAGATTCCCCTCCCCAGAAAGGATTCCTCATCCATCCCCACTTAAGGGATGTGAAGACTGCACGGTGTTCTATATTCCCCACTGCCTTGAAGCGTCAGGTGGGGTTCTAAAGTGGGAATTCAAACCTTTAAAATAAGAAGGATAAATACACAGTGATGTGTGGCGAGAGCCCGTTGCTTTCAGAGTTTCCCTGCCTGGTGGATTTTGCGGGTAGGGAGGGAAATTCTGCCAATAACAGCATGCTGAAGCTTAAAGGTCCTCCTCCAGTAACTATGGAGAGACACTTCAACCTTGCAGGATGGGAGGTGGGGAGAAAACTGCCCAAAAGCCAGAAAAAGCACCACAGTCCAGGAGGTTCTGCACCCCTGGCCTATCACAGCAGAGGTCCAAAAAGGAGCTTCAGTGAGGTACGGCCAACACATCCGCCTCTGGACAGGACCTACCTTTCTCGGAAGAGCTCTCCCCACGGCCACCGCTGGCGTGGAGCAGAACAGCCCGACGTTCACTCCAGGCGTGGCAAACCTCGCTGCCTCACTGGCTATCGCAATGTCGCAGCTTGCTACCAGTTGGCAGCCGGCTGCCGTCGCGAGGCCGTGCACCTTGGCGATGACGGGCACAGGGAGCTTACGAAGCAAAGTCATGACCTGAAAGGAAGAGTGCTTTGAAAAAGGAAGAGCGATCCCCATCTTCCTGGAGTGCTGCGTGGAGCAGGGGGTTGAGCCCAGTGGTTGTATCAGCCCCTTCCAATTCTGCCGTTCTATGATTCTTGCAAAACATCCAAGAGAGGCTTATGCCCTGCTTCTTATTTAAGGCATATGAACACATTGATTGATATTTATGTCAAGCATCCGTAGGCAGCTTGTCATGGGCAGAAAAAATCCACCGCCCGTGTGATTTACTGTAATGTTAAAGCAAGCTATCACTTAAGAAACAGTTAAAGCCAGTAATGGGGAACGCTTCCACAAAGCCAGAGACTAAAAGCTGTGCTTAATATAATGACCTATGAAATGATGTGCAGCATGCAGAATATTAGAACCCGGTAGGCCATCCATGAAGCTAAATGTTGGGAGACTCGGAGGAGATCAGAGGAAGTCTTACGGCTAATGGGGCAGGTAAAAAGGTAATATATCAGTTAGTCTTCCTTTGCACGGCACATAGTGAAACTGTGGGATCCACTTCCATGAGATGGAAGCTGTGAAGGCCACCCATTTGGAGGCTACTGGTCCTCGTGGCTATTTGCTGCCTCCAGTATCAGGCGTCGTATGCCTCTATTGACCAGTTGCTGGGGAACATGGGTGAGAGGGCGCTGTGGCACTCATGTTGTGCTTTGGATTTCTGGTGGGCAGCTGGTTGGATGGGCCCTTGGTCCCACCCAGCATGGCACATCTTAGGTTCTTATATTCCAAGTTAGCTCTGGACTAGCTAGGCCTTTGCTCTAATTCCACACAAAAACAGAGGAACAGAGCAAGTCAGAAGGGGTTCCCCGGGCCATCTAGTCTGACCCTCGGCTCCAGCCAGCTCCACGCAAGACATGCCTACCAGGTCCAGTCTGTCCTTGAACACCCTCACCGATGGGGCTTCAACCACCTCCCATGGAAGCCCATTCTATACCCTCGGGGTCCTAACTGTCAGGAAGCGCTTCCTGGCATCCAAATGGAACCTTGGTGGATGCTTCATGTGTGTTGAACTGACCCCGAAAACGCAGAGTGAGGACCAGGAGATTTCCCAGGGGAAGTCTCACAGACAGGGACGGGAGGAGGCCCTATGCAATCTCATCTTGCCTTGCCTCAGAGGGACCCTCCAGGGAGGATCACAGCCCTGGAGGACCTCGGAAGGCATGAAGTCTGAGCATCTGCAGAGCAAAATAATGGCCAGCACCCTTGGGAGGCGCTGTTACTCAGCTGCTGCTCCCCACTTCCTAGGGTGATTAGTTCCACTCCGAACAGCTCAGATGAGCAGGAAGTATTATGAGCTGGAATGGGGAGGTGAACTTCCCTACTGGTTGGCCTCTTCTTGACAAGGGAATCCACCATCTGGTTCTTCATGTCTGCCGACATTTAGCCCAATGTTATTCCTTTGATTCTGACTTCCAGAAGAACCCTTCAGGAAGTACAGCCTCCATACAAAGTCTGGAAATCAAGCAATCCAACTACACTTTCGGAAAATGATACTAGATTAGACCTCTACGGAGGGCACCGAAGTGGCACTCACCTCAGAGCAGGTCTCAAAGACTTTGAGGTGGTGCTTCTCACCCTCCTTGCCCGTCAGCTCTTTTAAGTCGTGGCCAGAGGAGAAAACTGGTCCTTCGCCTTTGCAGAAGTTTGTGGGAAAGAAAACAAGAGAAGTTTATGTGGCAGAGTTCGTTGACCTCCAGAAAGCCACGTTGCTTGGATGAGTCACGAGGCATTTGTCATGGCTCTGAGAAGCTGCCTTGACTGTATGAACTGGCCCATTGTAGACCGAGCACATCATGAAAACAGCAGCTTTGGAAAGCCCAGAAAGAATGGCGAGATGAAACGTCTTTCTTAACATCCACCCACAGCATGCGCAGCCTTGATGAGCAAAATACCTGAAATGATAATAACTCGCACGTCGGGGCTTTCAATATCGTGCAGAATGTCCTTGCGGAGAGATCTCAGCATGGAGAGGGAAAGGGCATTTCTTTTCCGAGGATTGTTCAAAACGATGTTCCTGTAAAGATGACGCTTTAGAAGAGAGGCCTTGGAAGGTGTCTGGCCATGCGGTTCTAATGCTTTACAGAAATTTGTAGATATGTACAAGCAAAGAGCGTGCACAAGTCAAGGTAGCTTAACTCATTTGGTACAAGGAAAGTTGGGAACAGGTTTCTAGAGGATGCTATTTGTTGCATGAATAGATTATCTTGCAATCATGGCCAAATATTTCAGAATTTCTGCCCAAATATCCCTCAGGCAAGAAGTGGCCTCTCTCTTCTACCAGGCCTTGTGTCATCACCCAGAATCTCAGGTGGTGGATGGAGCCTATTCTAAGTTGTGACGTCTGCTGGGTTCACCAATGATGGTGAAGCCTATTGAGATCTGTGGCCTTACTCTCCACCAGTCGCCATCTTAACTTTCCCAGAATGCAGTGCTCCAGATGTTCCCTGGCGTTGTGAGGTTTTTATAGGGCTACCACCATGTTTTTTTTAAACCTACAATGTCACCGAAAGATGGAACTTCCGGCCCTGTTATCCCATTCAACCTGGGAACTGATACCACCTTCAATCTTGCTATGGGATGTTCATCCAAAGAGCCTAGCATTATTCTGAGATATGCACTTAACTTCAAATTAATTATCTAGGCTATTTTAAAATAGGATGGTTGAGATCCAAGAAACTGCACAAGTACTTTCACATGCCAAAGGGGTCTTAGGGCTCACAATTCTGAGACCACCAGACTAACACACATGGTGAAATTTGGGGTATTTTCGAAAGCAGTTTATAGTAAGATGTTTGGGTCTGGTGCAGAACTGAGTCGTTTGGCATGGCTAAAAGGAGATGCTTTAATTTCAGTCCTAAACAATGATGACAAAGTCTCTTTCTTACTTTTCAACCTCTAGCACTATAATATATACCAAATGTTCTGTGTTGGTATCAACTTTCATAGGCTAGAACAGCAACCTAGTATTCTCTAGATGTGTTGGATTACAACTCCCAGCATCCCCTCATCAGCTGCTGGGGGATACTGGTGGCAACTTCACAACTAACACTTTTGTTAAGGCATAACAGAGAGCCAGTGTGGTGCAGTGGTGAGAGCATTGGACTAGGAACCCAGAAGATCTGGGTTCGATTCCCCACTCGGCCATGATGCTCCCTGGGTGACTTTGGGCCAGTCATTCCCTCTCAGCCTAACCCACCTCACAGGGTTGTTGTGAGGACAAAATGCAGCTATGTAAGCCAAGTTGGGATCCTCACAAGAAGGAAAAAGGCAGGATATAAACAGAACGTTATACCAATAACAGCTTTTCACTGGCTACAGTTCCACAGCAGTATGAACAGCTCTAATGCACAATCCTAAGTATATCTGAAGACCTGGGAAGAAGCCAAAAATAATGGAGGATGGGTGAGGGGGGAGGGTAAAAAAAGAAACTCTATTTTTCCACTTTTCTGGGTTTTTTCCCCAGACCTTCACTTCCAGGCAAGTGCATATAGGGCTGCAAAAGAAACACCCACTGAACATTATTTATCCATATTTCAGAATGAAGAACAGTTTTCTAATTGCAAAACTGGGAAGTTTTTACAGCCCAGAAGCCTCCAAATAAAGAACACAGAGTGATAAGGGTAAAATTTGGTTGAGTTCCCATTTTGTTTTGTCAGCAGGATTGTTTTGACCACTCCGGACAAAGTTCATGGTTACGCCGCATCTCCTCAATTCATTCCAATCACATATTCTGCAAACTAAGGACTTGCTGCACCTAGAATGAGGAATTTCTCTTGGCGTGCATTCAATGCTATTTCCAAATTAAGTTTTTAGTGTAGGATTTCTAGACTGCAGTTCAGTTCAGATTTGATTTTTTCTTTGCTCCCTGATAGCTTTTGCTTTGGCAGTGGCACTCAAAGTAACTTGGTGGATGGAGGCCAGGGGTGCATCTTCTCTTCAGGACCTTTCTTTGAAGAATTTAATGAGTGGACAGAAACTGAGGCCTGCCTCCCATTTAAGGCGTCAGGTGGGTGCAGAGCCTGCCTCCCACCACTGCAAAAATCATCTTGGTGGGGTGTGGTGACGAGGCAGGGGATCTGGGTTCTAGTCCCCTCTCAGGCATGAAGCCCACCTGGGCCAGTAACAGTCTCAGTCTGATCTCCTTCGCAGGGCTGCGGTGGAGAGGATAGCAGGGAAGGGAAGGGAACTTACTCTAAAGAGGGGTGTGTGTGGGGGAGGGTGTCTGAAACCCCAGAAGTGTACACGCTCCAACCCACCCTGCCGCCGCCCCCCCACTCGACTTCCATGCCCATCAGCCCCAACCGGCACAGCCAATGCTGGACGTGATGATCCACTGCCCACCCGGAGAGTGGGCGGTGGCAACGGGAGAAAAGCCGTTCTCATCATGCCCATGGCAAAGCCTCGGTACAGCAAGCTTGCCGTCCAGAGGCGTAGGACTACGGCTCCCGGCATGCCCCAGGCAGGCTGGCTGGCTGCGGCACGCTGGGAGTCGCAGTCCCGCACCCCCGGGGGGCGGGGCGGCTCCGCACCCACCTGACGCCCTCCAGCTGCCACGCGCGGGTGAGCCCCTCCGCGGGGGCCGCCGCCTGGTGCAGGCGCCGCGGGCCGGGTGCTCCGCGGCCGCTCGCTGCTTTCAAGGCGCCCCGGGCGGCCAGCGGCGGCCGGCACAGCTTGGCCCAGCCGAGGCTCCCGCAGCGCGCCGCGCCAGCCGCCATCGCGCCGTCCTTCGCGGGCGGAGCTGCTGCTCGCGGCCGCCCCCGAGCGGCAGGCGGCGCCTCTGCGGAAGGCGCCGTGCTGCGCGTGCGCGCGGGCCGACCCATTCATTCACGCCCAGGCGCGCCCGGCTGAGCTGAGCTGAGCTCGCCCTGCGAGGCTGCGATCCTGGCAGCCGGCCGGAGGAAGAGGCTGGCGGCGACGCTTGCAGCATTTAGGGTCACGTCCTTAAGGACTTTGCCGGCCCTCCTCGCTTCCATGGCGGGACTCAGACCCCGGCCGGCTGGCCTTCTGCAAGGTGGGTGGCTCACCTGCCCTCACACCGTTCTCTGTGGTCTCGAGATGATTTATTTATCTGTTTATTTAAAACATTGACATGCCGCCCAGTTGTGCCACAGCACCTCTGGGCGGCTCACGACACAAGATAAAAACACAAGATTGCAAGATTGCTTTTATAGCTTGCCTCCGCACCCCGCATCCCCGCCCTACATGTCATCCGCCTCTCCTCTTCATTTTATCCTCACAACGACCCTTTGAGGCAGACTAGGCTGAGAAACAATGGCTGACCCAAGCTACGAGACAGAGGAGCTCTCAAAGCCCTCCAGTAAGCTGGAAACAACACCCCTGCACATGTCAAGAATGATAGTTGAACCCGGCCTAGGAATTTCTCCCCAGACCCCTTCCCTTTCAGTAATTCTGAGGCTCCACCCAGGGGCTCCTGCCGGAGATCCGCTTGGAAAGAGACCGTTGGGTGTTTTGCAGTATAAGGGCAAGCTCATGTCTTGCTGGAGCACCGCGGATGAAGAGCTGCTTGAGTGGCTGCAGAATATCTCATGGTCTGGCAACCCCCCTTTGCCCTCCTCAGACGCCCCCTTCTCCCCCACTCCAAGCTTGGCTTTCTGACTTAGGAGAGCAGTCGGGATGGTTCTCCCTGTTCTGGCGGGAAGGGGAAGTCCACCTCCAACTCCCTGTCTTTGACCTTGGATCTGGGAGTCCAAACTGTCTTATGGCTGCTCATGCGCTAAGGCTCATAGAATCGCTCCTGGCATCATTTAAATATAGAAGCATAATGCCGTTCGCCCAAGAATGAGAAACGTTTTGCTCTCCAGATGCTCGCTCCAGCCTCTCTCAGCAGTGCCTCTGCTGGCGGATGGGACTCGCAGCAGAACATTTTCAGAGACTAATACATTTCCAGTCTCAGCTTTATACTCCTCTGCCAGAAGTCACCTATTAATCGGCCCATTTAAAATCTATCCTCGTACATTTTGATTTTGTTTCATTGCATTTTGACATTTTCTAAGTCCCCGCTGGAATTCTTTGATGAAGAGTGTCACTTCTCATTTCCCTACAAATCTCATTGATTAGAGTTCTCCACAACAGCAACATTTTTCTTTTTGCAGGTCTCATGCTATTTTCGATATGACATTGCTGCCTTAGTTCACATCCACCCCCTTTCCCCGCCATATAGCACAGGTGAGCAGAATGGGAAGATCAACTTGATTGGCAGGATCCGCTAGGCCTCTAAGTGAGTGCTCTTCCATTTATTCATATTTATGTCTGTGCACACCCTGCATAAAGAAAGCTAGCATCTCAGGTAAGAAAGCTAAGCTACAACTCATTGCCTTGATACGTTCCTTTGTTTTGTATGTGAGAGTCTGGGATCATGTGGGCGCCTGCCACACACCAGCAGCCAGAAATGCAAAGTACCTGGAAAGCTGCTGTTCTGGGAACTAGGCCATAGGTGTGTGCACCTGATAGGGATCTAATCGAGACTGAAAGCGATAGGCAGAAACTGGCTCCCTGCACCATTTCTCTGTTTTTGCATTGCACCACTGATCCTGTCGCATTTAAGAGTGTGAAAGGTTCTGGCCAGAGGGTTAGATTCTTTCTCTCATACAGATTCAGCTCCCACTGACTCATGGCTCCATACAGCCCAAAGGAGTTTCTCTCTGTATGTGAGTGTTTCAGCATACAAGAGAGCAGGCCTCCTTAGCCATTTCTACTCACTGCTTGATTCCTCCTCCTGCTGCTGCTTTTAAAAGTGCCTTTACAGCACAGTCCAATCCAGGTGTGCACAGATTCAAGTCTCATTCAAGTTCAATGGACTTATTCCTAAGTAACTGAGTAGTGCAACCTTAAAGACTCTAGATTTATTTTTGCAATTGTTTCTTTTGTAACCCCGCAACCCCCCCCCCCCCGCTAACATTATTTCTAAGGTGTTTTTCAGTGCAGAACCCTCCCGTGGCAGCCTATGAGAAAAACCATACAAAGTAGATTCAGTTAAAAAGTATGAATATGTTTCCACAAAGGACATGAAAACAATGATTATCAATTAGAATGACTGAAACCTGCATTTATCAATAAAAACAAATAGCCTTGACTTAAGGGAAGGCCAGTGAAAGGCCAGTCTTCAGAGCTTTTCTGAAAGCCTGCAAGGAAGGGCCCTGATAAACCACCATTAGAAGTTGATTGCAGAAATGTGGGGCCACCCCTGAGAAGGCTCAGTCTCTCATACGCACAAGCCTAAGCACCTTTGCTGGCAGGCAGGCAGAAGACCTCTGGAGATGACCACAGAGCGTGGGCAAAGACATGTCTTCCAAAAGCTCAGCCCTTTCAAGGCTTTAAAAGGTGAAAACTAGCACTTGGCATGGGACTTGCAAAGCACGTATTTATGTCACTCAAGCCAGCTGCTTTGCCTCCACCAAAATCTGGACAGCTGTATTCTGCACCAGTCAAAGCACACAAAACTTCAAAGTCCCACATAGGGTGCATCACAGAAGTCTAGCCCGGATGTCACCCGAGCATGGATAACTGGGGCAGGTTCCCCCTTCTGGTGAGGCTGCAACCAACATACCAGCCTAAGTGGATAAAAAGTATTCCTGGACTCTGCTTTTATCTGAGCACGCACAGTTAGAACTGGGTCCAGGAGCACAGCAAAGACTGTTCCCCGAGTCCATTGTGGTGGGTGCAAACCCATCTGGGACCAGTGGGAATCCTCTATCTAGATGCATCAGTTTCTGTATCCACAGGATCTCCATGTTTGCAGAATTCAGTCTCAGCTCATTTGCCTGCATCCTCATCTGTACTAAAACTACCTTCAGACTATACCAGGATGGTACAGAAGGACATTGAAACCTGCACTCTGTCCAGCTTCTTGCCAGATAACTGATGGTTTGCCCTTCCACCTTAAAAACTTTCATTTCTATCGGACACATTTTTCCCGTTTTAACTGTTTGTTTTGTTTGTTTTTGTGCCCATGAAAAATAGGTCCGTGCTGAGCCATGACATGAACCTCTTCCATGTAGAATTCTTCACTCATGGTGTGAGCTTGAATTCAAGCACAACATCTCACTAACTCTTAACAACCCTCCCTGTTGTGTTGTGTGAATGCAGCCTACATCTCCATCTATACCTTCCTATGTGCCACTAGCATCTTTGTTAGCAGCCCCTATCCAGGTGTCGAAGACTTTAAGCTGCTGGCACTGGAGAAAGTATCGTTCTGACCATGTTATAGGAATTATTTCTCGGGGGATGTTCCCTTGGTGCTGACTCTCAGGTCTTTTCTAGCACCATGCACACACCTTTTAAAAAGCATCTATGCAAGGCTCTTGGAAGATAAGCTGACGTTGCTTTTCAAATATTGCAGAGTCCAACAGTTTTATTGTGCATTGTGGTCCCTTTCTTTGTGTTCTTAGCTGTCCTGAGAGCGCTCATATGGAAGATACCAGGGATAAATCTTTTTTTGTAACTACAGATAGGCATAAAGCCATTCTTTTGCAATTCCTTCTGTCGATGCCATCAGCTGATTCTACCTGTCCCAGCATGGGATCACCACCATCTCTTTCTTCATTGCTTTTCTTTAACTCAGCTCTGTCCTAAGCTGAATTTAGATTTATTTATTCATTTTATGTTGCGATTTATATCCTGCCTTTTTCCTGCAAAGGGCTCAAGGCAGCTTACATCATCTCTCCTCCTCCATCTTATCCCCAAAACAACCCTGTGAGGTAGGTTGGGCTGAGAGTCTGTGACTGGCCCAAGGTCACCCTGTTGGCTCCATGGCTGAGCAGGGACTAGAACCCAGATCCTTTGAGTTCCAGTCCCATGCTCTTAACCTCTACACGACACTGGCTCTCTTTTTTCATGAGCTTTTTAATGAATCTCTTTTTTAGATTTTAGCCATGCTGTAGAGTTTAGCTGCAACAGCATACTAGGAAAAAAAGTCAGAAATAAGAGATGATAGGAAGGAGAAATCTCAGAAGGATGGGAGAAGTGAAGCAGTCAGAAGGGAGTTAATGTAGGAAGCAGAGAATGTGGGAGGGGGGATAACAGGAAAGCGGGGAAGGGCAGGGCAGGAGGTGGGGAGATGGTACTGACAGGCATTGACATCGGTATTGACAGAAATAACTTCTTTTGTCAGCAGGTGAGGAAAGGCTGAAGAAATTACGAAGGCTGAGATTATGCATTCTGTATGGATCCAGGAGTGAGGTGCTACCAAAACTGTGACCTGCATCAAGTGCCCGGAGCCTTAAAACGCCTTAGAAAAGCTGGCAGTGGAATGGACAGGAGGACAAAGGAATGAACAGGAGTGTATTGGGGGCACAATGATTTACGAAGCAGGAGTTGCATTGGACAACCGTTTAATTGAGGATAGCCCCGAGGAAACGCAAATGAATGAGCAAAGCTGTGAGGGGTCAGGTTCTTCAAGGTGACTCGTGAGAGCTGAATGGCGGGGAATGAAAGCCACACAGTCCCGGCATACAGACCAGGCACGCTGAATGAGAAACAGCGGAGCATTGATTGCGCTGCAAGGTCTAGAGGCTTTCCTTAGGGAAAAGGGGACAGTGCGGGCTAGGGGAACAAGCCATGTCTTATCTAGGGCTGAAGAGGCAGAAGGTGGAATCCCTCCTCCCCTGCTCTCAGTTGGTGCAATAGAGGAACTAGAATAAAGGTAACATATCCAGCATGGTCCTGCTGCAGAGGAGGAGGCGGCACAAGGAAGGCAGCAGGTAGAGGTAAAGCCCATGGCTCAGTGGAGGAGATGCACCCTGAGTATAAAGTAAGGGTAAAGGTGTCTCCTTGACGTGAAGTCCAGTCATGCCTGACTCCAGGGGGCGGTGCCCATCTCCGTTTCCTGGCCGAGGGAGCCAGCGTTTGTCCGCAGACAGTCTCCGTGGCCATGTGGCCGGCATGACTAAACACCGAGGTGCACGGAACGCTGTTACCTGCCCACCAAAGTGGTACCTTTTCATCTACTTGCATTTGTAGGCTTTCGCACTGCAAGGATGGCAGGAGTTGGGATAGAGCAACGGGAACTCACCCCATTGGGCAGATTCGAACCGGCAACCTTTCGATCAACCAGCCCAGCAACACGGCGGTTTAAACCACTATAAGCGCGGGGGAAAGGCACAGGAATGAGAAAGGAAAGCAACCACACCCTGGCAGCAATTCTTGGGGATTTAAAAAAAACATTTTTGTATTTACTGTTGATCCACACCAGCAGATATAATACAACAAGGCAGAAGCAGCAGATGCACAGTCTAGAATTGGACGTGGAAGACTATTTGGACTGCTGTTTAATTTTCACTCACAAGGTCAGCATTAAGAGTTACCATTGCTGGGTAACTCCAAGGCCCATGCTCCTGCAAGGGATCCACAACTAATTCGTCAGCCTCTGCCTTGCTCTCTCTCTCTGTTCTTTCACAAAGCAAGCTGAGTTGTGGGGTGGGACAGCATCCACTCATTTTGCACCCCCTTCTGGCCCCGGGGAGCCAGATGGGGCTCAAAAGAGGACAAGCAGGTGGGCAGCAGATCCAGCCAGGAGGAGATGAGCTCCCTCAGGGAAAGCAAGGAGGGCCCGCCCCTTTGCCAAACAACCTAGCTGCAACACTGGCCACTTTCAGCACAATCTAGGCAAGGTTTTGGGAAGTAAATCTAAACCCTGGCACACCTGCTTAGAGAGAAGTGGGAGGGGGAATACCGGGAAATAGGGAAGGCCAGAGCAGGAGGTGGGGAGATGGTATTGACTTGGAGCCTAGAGTGGCCAAGTGGCCTCTTTACATAAGACACCTCACTGACCTGTCCAATTCCATAAAGATCCACCACTCAGCAACAGTTAAGTTGTTGAACAACGGGGAACAAGCAAGTCCACAGATCTCCTGTTTCAGCATTCTCCACCACAGTGAGATGCACTGTAGTCCTGTTAAAGTGCATCTATACACTTAATGCACGCTCATTTCAAGCAATTAACTTGTTTTCAGCAGGCTCCTAAGCAATATCCTGGGTGTATCTACTCTAAGTAAGCCCCATTGATTTGGAATTACTCCCAAGTAAATAGGTAAAGAATCGTAGTCTATTGATTCGGAATTACCGCCCAGTAAATAAAGACTTGTTGCCTTAAAACATGTACTTGCAATCAGCTGTTATGTCTTGTCTTCTAACTCCCAAGTAAATAAAACCCAAACTTAAACACTATAATATGCACTTTGAAACATTCGTCTGGAGAAGGGTGAGCTGCTCAGTCGCACCACCTCAGCAAAAGCAACCGCCCAGGTATTAAATAGCAGCCGTGGCGACCTCTGGAGAGGGGGCAGGGGGGGCGCTGGTCTCGCTTTCGCTCCAAGATGGCGGCCGGCCTGAGAATGCTCTATGAGTTGGCCTGGCGTACGCTTTTCCCTGCGCGGCTTCCGTAGTCTCGTTCTGCGCCCAAGATGGCGCCCGGCCTGGGAGCGCCCTATGCGTGGTGCTGGGGCAGCGCGCGCGGCCAGCGGAGGGCGCGCGCTTCTGTCCGGAGCGGAGGGGGCGTTGCCATGGCAGCGCAGAGTAGGTGTCACACCGGGCCACTTCCTGGTTGGAGGCCAATGTCCCGGGCACTAAGCTGGGGAAGGCGTCGCGGGGAGGAGGCGCGGGGAGGCCGCGGGAGGCGCAGGACGCCGAGCCGCTGAGGTGAGTGAGTGCGGGCAGGGACCGGGGGCGCTGGGCTGGCGCGGCCTGGGGACCCTCCTCTCTCGCTCGGACCCCCGGGACCTGTTTTGAGTGCGGTGAGGGAGGGCTTGAGGCCTCCTCGTGGAGGTGTGGCGAGGAGCACGTCGGACGGGTCCATTCGCAAAAGGGGGCGGCGGCCCGAGGGGCCGGCCCATTCTCGCTCCCGGGGGGCGTGTGCGGGCACGATCCATGTGAGACCTCCCTGCGAGACCCGAGGTGCGCCTGCTTTCTTCCTATGGGGCTGCGGTTCTCCATGCCTCCAGCTGGGCCTCCTTCTGCGAGGAGCACCCACTTCTGTTCTTGGTTTGGGGAGGGGGCGGGCGGGAAGGAGCCCAGCGGCTTTTGAAGACAAAGGGGTGGCGCTCTTTGCAGGCATGGGGGGTCGACTCAATGAGGGGCAGTCTGCTCCAAGTGCGGGGGGTGTCCAGATTCTGCTTTTTGAATGGTGGTGGGGAGCACCTTCCCCAAGGCTGGTCCCTCTGGGGGAACTGGGAGGGAGGGAGAAGGACGGGAGTGTTTTGGAGGGGGAGTGCCCGAATAGGGGAGAAGAAGGTGAGGGGGGAGTCATGCAGAGTGGGCATAGTTGGTGGGGGGAGATGAGATCTCTAGTCGGGGGAGAATGCAATTTAAGCATCTCAATACTAGACTTATAGCCCAAGTTTATGCAGAAGTCCTAGTTTTCTTTTGAACAGGAGGTTTTACTCTTAAGCAAATGTACATGGGATTTGCGGCATTACAGAGAGGGCTGTATAGAGCTTCTGAGGCTTGGCGGGGACTCTCTGGGTTGTGCCTGAATGGCATTCGGGAATCCGTGGAAATGCAGGAGATCCACTTGTCCTAAAGGGTTTATATAGATTGTGTGTTTGTTCTTCTTTGCAAAATTAGGGGTGGGTTAACTTAAGGGATGCAGGTTGTCTTCTTCCAGTTCTGCCTTCAGTTTATGTCTACTATCTGCGACAATAGATAATGTTGGATTGAAGGAGAAATAGTATAAAACCTGAACAAAAACTTTTCACGTTTCAAAAAGCAATCACTCCTTTTGAGTGGTGTAGAACTATCGGGAAGGAAAGAAGCTTCTTATACCAAGATAGTGTCACTATTGTGATAGTCTTGGATATTTCCCCACCCCATGTTTTGACATTGCAGGGGAAGAGCAATGGAAGGAGACCCGAACACCCAAAAGACCTGGCTAGGGTTGTTGGTCCTTCCCTGCCTGTGTCTTTCTTCTGTTCTTAAGTGTATTGGAGTTAGAAAGCAGTTGCATTCTTGCAGAGAAGAGTGTACAATCTGTGACAAAAAGACTTTCGAATGCAGCTTTGCTTTCCATGATCACTTTTGCTGAAAAGCTGATAATTTGATAGTTGCTTTTTTGGACTGAATAGCAGGTAGAGAGAATCCTTATATCTGGCTATTAATCTCTTGAGTCTAGACTGACTTTCTCTGTTACTAGTTTAGAGCAACCTCTGCAACTTTTTTAGGCCAACTGGACTGTCACTTTTGTAATAATGCGTGTAGGCAGAACTGAGCAGGATGTAACAAAGAACTCTTTCAGCAGGGCCATTTCTTACTGAAAAGCTACTGAGTTTGATTGCACTCACTGCTAGGTAAAGCTGCAAATCTTAGGCTGTGTTCTCTGAAACTGAGTAAGGTCAGCTGAGCCCAGTAGGGCTTGCTTCTGAGTAAACATGGATCCAGCTACAGGAGTGCCTAGAGTTTCAGCCTTTGTATAATAGGCATTCATTTATTTGAATTGTAATTTAAGTGATAGCTGCCAAAACCAGATACTCTTCATTTTTTTACCTAGCACATATTGGGCAAGTATTTCGTTTGCTGAGTGATTCTTTCATGTGTAAATATAGTGACACTGTGAATGAGGAAGGGGGAGTGTCCCTATGAAGATCTGGTCCTGCTTGACTATTCTTTGGCCTACTTTTCAGTGACTCAGGAAAGGTTATTAAATGGTAGGAAGTGCTTTGCTTCTGTTGTAACTTGGAGCATTTCATAGTGGAAAACTTGAACCAATGATTTGCAAGATAGTTGTCTTCAGTGTGTGTGTGTGTTGTACTCTTTCCTAGAAGGCTGTTTAATTATCTGCCTCAAATTTGGAGGCGTGAGAGAAGTTCTTGTTTTGTGGAATTATCTCCAGATTGAGAGATGGTTGATCTATTGATTATGAGATCTGAGGTTTGTTTTGGGGAAGGTTCTTGAGATTAAGAGAGGCATCTAAAAGAACTCTTGCTCAGAGAAAGGCATTCCTCTGTTTTCTTATTTCATTATTTTTGGCCAAGCGTGGATTATCCCAGCCAGAGATGTACTTGTGCTGCTATTGCTTAGATGTGAAAAAGAATCTGTAGTATATGGCATGGCAGAATCTACCTGTGGTCTTGTAAAGGTTGAGTACTTATACACAGAGGAATAACCCTTATTAGAGTCAGAGGGACATACTTCAGAGTAAACATGCACAGTAAACATGTCATCCTGAAAGAACTTCTAATTTCACCACTGATGATTATTATTTAAGTAAAATCATGTTACTGATCTGTATTGTTCTGAAGATAATGCTTGAAAATGCATGTGGCAGAAATAGATTTCTAGTGGTCAGAAGGTAGGATGCTGTGCCCATTTGCATGACTAGTAGAAGCATGGACAATTATACAAACTAGTACTGTTGGGTTGTTGTTGTTGGGTTTTGTTGTTGTTGGTTTTGATTAATGTGTACAGGTTGTGGAATCCAGGTTAATTTGGATAGGAACTGTGATCAAGACTTTGTAGAGAGGCTGCTAATAGTTGTGTACATTATATTGCAATAAAAAGTGCATCTTAGTATTGGTGGTTAAGTGGTTAAAGATGGGAGAGGCACCATTCCACTCCCATTGAGGCTGTTGCTTACAAATAGGTTTCGCCCATTCCAAAACAGCACCTGTCTTCACACTAGGTGGAGTTGTAATTAGAATGGAATTTCTAATAACTCTAGTAGCCAAAATGTGGGAAGGAGCACATTTTTAGTATCATATAATTTAGCCAGAGTTCTCTTGACATATCATGTCTGTGCCAAAACTATAGGTGTTGTGTGGTGTCTGACAGACTCCAACACTTGACCGGGGTTTACAAAAGAGCAGCTCATTTTTGGGACAAAACACACCACCTTTCAAAGCAGTGGTTCTGGTCAGTGACAGCCAGCCATCTTGATGTGTGTTCTATAAGTCAAGCAGAAGGACCAGTTTATACAGGTAATAGACCTTGGAGATTCAGCTCTGGGGCAGAAAGATGTGGGCTGGGGGGTTGCAAACTTAGCCTTTTTCTCAAATGGCAGGGGAATGCACTGTATTGCATGTTGGAGAGAAGGCCAAAGGCTGCCTCCAGGTTTCTGGCCCTTGCTGGCATGTGCTTCTCGAAGGAGCTCTTGCTGCGCTCATTGGATGCCATGATTGGCTTATCCGCTGTTGAAGACAGCAACAAGGAACTGTTGCCATTTTAATTAAGCACAATCCCTTAGAACAATTAGTTAAAATAGTGGCAGACTCAGCTGCCTACCATAGGGGCCAGGTGAGACCAGTGTCAGTGGTGGGCTGTCCTGGGGCCGCCAGAGGACCCCAAAGATGCCAACACTGGGTCTGGCTGAACCCCACCGTGCTATCTTTCACAATGTGGGGAGGTGTTTTTTTTAGTATAACAGTATTTTGGAAATTCCATAATTCTGGGAAAGAATTACATTGCTTGAATGCACTACTTGATTTTGCCTTAGAAGTCTTTAGGTAGTTGTTGCTGTAAGAGCTTGCCATACCCACCTGCATGAAGATAAATACCAACTGTGTACATCAATTGCACTTTTGATTTTTGAAGTTTAGCCTTGTTGCTTAATCACTGTTTTTGTCAAATAAACGCTCTTTAAAACCTTTCTGTCAACTTCTGGTTGCAGATCTCGGTTTGTCGTGTTGGAGTCCATAGTTCTTCACTGAAAGTCCCTCATAATAGCTAACCTATTTTAGCTATTAAAAGAAAGAGAGAGGCAAACATAGCTTCATATATGAAGAAATGCACAAATTCCTCTTTTGTTTTCACCAAGATCTCCCGTGCCTTTCTACAAACACATATGCTCAAGGCACACAACTATTTAAAAGCACCAGATTACATCAGTGTGAGTAAAATAGCAGATATGAAATTTGCAGCCAAAAATTAAAAGTGGTTATAAAAGCACAATATTTACAATGTTGAAAACTCTTTTGTCAAAATGCTACAGAGTGAAAGCTCAGGGATTTGTGCAGTAAGAATGCATTCACTTATTTATTTGATTTATACCCCACCTTTGACACCTAAATATATGCAAGTTGCTTGGCCCTGGGTTGGAGTTTCTATAGGTGCAGCACTACTACCGAGAAACAGGTTTTATATAGTGAAGTACAGATTTAACCTCACGCAGAAGCAAAATCAAGAAAAAATCCTATTAATAATCAGCTCTTCTCACTGTTTCTCAATGTTTCCCAGGAACCTCAGAGTTTTTCAGAGCACAGTTTGATAACTGATGCCAAAACATGTCAGGCGGCTATGAGGGTACCATGGATACCGGCAGCCACAGCTGAACATGTCTGCAAACGTGTGTTTTCCTGTTAGGCATGTGGTGAAAATGTGACGTGTATCCAACTTACATGTTACAGGCCAGATGCAAGTACATGTCAAAGGTTTACTAAGATGTTGTGAAGCCCATTCCTTCGGAAAACGTGTTCCAAGTCCTGGTGGAATGGTGCTGTTGTGACCCAGTCATGTAATGACTGCAATTGGCATAGTAAATAGCTCAGCAGTAAAAGTTGCCTTCAGAGGATGACACTGGTCAAGTCACAAGATCACTGTTGTAATCAAGTAAATCATTGAAAGCATTTTATCTGTGATTAGATAGCCTGCCAAGTTGTGGTAGCTTTGTGTTCAGTTTTTGTCATCTCTTTCCCTTCTAACTGCCACAGTTGTTCCTTCTGTGCCACATGTTATAGCATAAGCCATGTTATCTTTGGGGTGGCTCTTTATTCTCCAGGCAGTAGGCCAAAGGCTGCAACTATCTTTTGCTGCACAAACGGAACCATTCACAGATAGCCAGATTCTGTAATCATGTGAGGATTATCTAATATTTGGAGCTTCATGTTTCAGAAATAGGGAACAGTGTTGCATGCAAATATGTAAATTTTCTTGCTGCGTATAAAAGCCATAGGAATTGGGGGGAAAGACACCCCAGAGAACATGGGGTTCTCGACTTGACGCTTTTCATGGGCCTTGACATGAGCAGGCATTAAGCAGAGCTTCCTTATCTTAGACTATGCTTCGAGGCACCCTGCTGAGCTCCAGGGAAATCTTCCACACTTCCAAGCATTAAATGTCCCCCCCTGGTGACACATACTTCTTGCTTTCTCCTCATATCTCTTATCCTCCTTAAGTCTTAAGGAATCAGAAGAGAAACACTGCATGGAATTAGCTGGCTAGGTTAGTACAGATGGTGCGTTTCTGGTCAGTTTATTGAAAAAGACGTGTAAACTGCCAAGTTGCACTTTCTGAATCCAGAACCTTTGAAATGAATGGCCCTGCATGAAGAAGCTGGAATGTTGGTCCAGAAGGCCCTCTCTAGAAGGGAGCATGCCTGTTTTTGGTCCAGAATATTAAGCCCTGTTGCAAGGCCAGATGTGAGATGAGAGCAGGGCGGAGCCTAAGTAAGGCAGGTCTGTGACATTGGCCAGGAGCATTGCCAGATCTCCACTCCAAGCCAGAGTGCAGGCCTGACCTGGAAACCTCTATAGTGGGTCCTGTGGTTTCTTGTTAGATTAGGCCAGTCAGTAGTTTTCTGACTTGACTGGAGAGTGGTGGCTTACAGCAGGGGTCTCACACTCGCGGCCCACGGGCCAGTTGCTGGGCCAGGTGGGGCACGGGGGGGGGGGGGGCCCTGCGGCCTTCAAAGTGCCGGCGGCGCCCGGGCCGGCCTCCGGATGAGCGGCCCCCCACCACCACGGTGGTGGAATACTTGATGCGGCCCAGCCTCACCCAGACTCTACTTCCAGCGGCCCCCAGGTCAGCTGAGCTTGAGACCCCTGGCTTACAGTGTGCGACCTGTGTGTTTGACAGGCCTTGTGTGTTAATTCAGGGCTCTGTGATGTGTGGGAACTGCTGTTTTGCATATGCAAGCTGTAGTGTGGTAGGGCTGGAGGTGTGCTTTGCAAATACCCTGGACTGACAGAAAATGAACAAATGGATCCTAGATCAAATCAACCCAGGATTTTTCCTGGAAGCAAAAATGACGAAACTAAGGCTGTTGTACTTTGGGCATGTCATGAGAAGGCGAGAGTCACTGGAAAGGATGATCATGGCAGGGAAAGTCAAAGGCAGAGGAAATAGGGGAAGACCAGCTATGAGATGGATTAATTCCATAAATGAAGCCACAGCCTTGAGCTCAGAAGAGCTGAAAGGACTTTCAAGGACAGGACATTTTGAACACCATCCATTCATAGATAGGATTGCTATCAGTCAGAGATGACTTGATGACTCCTAACAACAGCAGAGCATCCGTGCAGAGCATCCATTCAAGAATTGAAGCTTTTAGCAAATTGTACACCCATTGTATTATCGCAGGTGGACATTTATACTTCCAATATTGTAATGTTAGTCTTTTAACTGTTCAAAAAGCTGAAAAATCCATTTGCGTTGATCTCATATTCTGAGATATAAGTAGGCAATTCAAAAGGCATGTTAAAAAACTTTCACTGGTAATAGGTATGGATTGTTGGCATGATTAACAAATCATTCACAACCCTGACATAGCCCATGGACCGTAGCTGGTTTTTTAACTGTGCCAAAACCCATCCTTGATGGACTTGTGTGATGTAAAAAGCTATGGCAACCCCCATCTCCACTTGCATGTGCAAAATGGCAGCTGTTTCCACCTGACTTCCTCTGGCTCCAGGTTCAACACCTGTTCCCGGCTTCAGTTGGAATAGTCATCACTGTCCGTGTCATTGGTCTCATGGAGCAGCAATCGCCTCAAGGGCTTTGCATGTGTCAACTCTGGAACTGGCTTTGCCTCAGTTCTGTGCTCCTCTTTTCTTTTTCCAGAATGTTGTAATTTGCAGTGTTCCAATAGGTGGATAAAGGCCAACTATGCTCCTTTTAAGCGCAAATGAGAAAAGTGTTTGGGGCCTTTTAGTTCCAAGAAAAGGTTAATGGGGGCATGATAGGTTTATGACATTAGGTATAGTATGGAAAAGTCAACCTTTTCCTCCATTAGAATGCTAGAATTTTGGGTTACCTAATGAAATAGTTTAATAAATTCAGGAATTATGAGCAGAACAGCTTCATTCATTGTATAACGTATGTGGTTTGCTACCACAAAGCTGGTGATGGCTGCTGGCTTTGACGTTTTTAAAACTGGCTTAGCATGCAGAAACTATGCAAAACCCCCCACTTCTTTCAGCATCCCCTTGCTGGAGCAGTTTGGGAAATGCTGGGAGTTGCAGGACTGTTTTGCGTTTTGTCTAAGCATGCGTAGGAGTATGCCCTCAGATGCCTGTGAAACGGTACCAGACGAATTCATATTCGCATCAGTAGGCCTTAAGTACCATGCCTAAAGGGAGCCTCGTGCTCACAGGTGGCGTGCAGCTATATCACAGATAGCAGGGGACAAACGTCGAGGAAACAATGGCCTCCGTGCCTCCTTCGTGGGCTTCCTGGAAGCATCTGCTGGCCCACTGCATGGGGCAGATTGTTGGTCTAGGTCAGGGGTCGGCAACCTTAAACACTCAAAGAGCCATCTGGACCCATTTCCCACAGAAAAGAAAACACGGGGAGCCACAAAACCCTTTTGACATCTGAAATGAAGATAACACGGCATATATCGTTTTTTACCTTTTTGCTATGTATAAAAAAACTATAGTGAAATCATTTATAGCATTTATGAAATCAATGAATGATTATTTTATATAATCTCTATCTGTGAACGGCTTTCCATGCCTGACTATTTCCTGAGCAGCCACAAAACTAGCATATGGAGTTAGATTTGCAGACTTAATCCACTTCTTGAAATGATTCTTGCTCAGATCAACCTTCCGCATCAGTTCCGAAATGGCTTTTTCTCTCTCATCTCCATCCGGATATTTTTCAGCAAAGGCTGTGTGTATATTCTGGAAATGTCTTGCAACATTCGGCTTTTTGTTGTTTGCCAATTTCTCACCACATATTAAGCATATACTGGTAAACCAGTCTCATCAGCAGTGAAAGCAAATGAATCTGCCCACGTACCATTAAACATTCTGTTTTCTTCTGCAACTTTTCTTTTCTTGGATTTATCCATGGTTGGCCTACTGGGGTCAAAAAGTTCAATAAATCATGTGCTGGCGAGTGTCGCACATTGGCGGTTGTGACACATATTTTGAGAGACAGGGAGTCGCAGCAGAGGGAAGAAAGAGCCACATGCAGCTCCAGAGCCGTGGGTTGCTGACCCCTCACCTAGGTGGCCCCTTCATCTGATCCAGCAAGGCTGCTTTTATTGTGAGCTGGATGCTGCTCCCAAACAGATAGCTAAAGCTTCCGCTGGATGTCTTTAACTTCATCCTTCCACTTTTTGCTTAACCTGTAATGGGTCAGTGCTGTTTTTATTTATATGTGCCCCTGAAAATGTGTATCTTGCCCTTCGGGTGCTTACACACCACCCACAGTGTTGGTCAAGTATTAACACCATGCTGAAATACAGTACAATCCAATCCAGTACTCACACACAAAGCCCCAGAAATAGAGAAAGATGCAGTAGGTAAAACATAAGCTTTGGATGGAAATATCTATCCAGTACAGCAGGTGCCTGCCTAAACAGGAAGGTTTGTGCTTACTGCAAAATGCCAAAATATATTGCATCCATCCAATCTACATGTAGCTAAGGCTGGCTAGTTGGCTGCATTCCCTTTGCCTGTTGTGAAATGTTGTGAGATAATTCATAGGTGTACAGCATTCCGAGGCAATTACCTCAGTCAGAATCTGAGCTGGATGAAGAGCTGGGGTTGGATGTTTTAGCTGAAATGCTAAGGCCAGCGTGTCCCAAGATAAGTGAAGTGACTGGTGAGAACGAGACCATTTCTGGTTCTAGGGTGACCCTGTTGAACAGGGATGTAGCATAATCAGTTACTTCATTCAACATCAGATCAAGAAAGCAGACCAATTGGGTGGCATCTGGCATCTGCCCCCCTCCCCCAATCACTGGAAGTCTCTCTGCAGATGGAGCTAATTCTGGTCAGTTGGGAATAGAGATGGAGGCTTTCACTTGGAATCAGTTTCTTGGCATGAGCGGAAATTTTCCTAATTAGCTGGCTTCATAACTTGTCTGATGTCTTTCGTTAGCAACCTCTGCAATACTCCCTTTGTATCACAAAGCCAGCCTGACTGGCCTGCTTTAATATAATGAAAACTGTCATTAGAAGGCTCTTGAATTGGTCTGCTTGGAAGGAGAAGCAGGAGAGATCAGTCTTCAAAAGCAGGTATTATATTACATACTGTAATGATGTTCCTCATACACGTTTTGTCTGCATCTCTCTGATGTGAAGACATAAATGTAGGCAGCATTTCCTGGCCACCTTGCGAAGACTGCAGCCACTGCATTCGCTTTTTTGCTGGGAGAGGTAAACAGTGCCCCTGGGACCCCCCCCCCCCCGCCCCCGGCCACTCTTGATATTGATGGTGCACGTCTGGTTGTGGAAAGATTGGATTATTAACAGATGCTTAAGGAATGATCATGCCTTGCCTACATGGAAGGCTGTTGCATTAGCTTTTGCTAGGTGTGTTTGCCATTATTATTGTAGGCTTTCCTCTTTTCTTTGTGTGGGAGTAAGAGATGTAGGCCCATTGCCAAAAATCTAGCTAGGTGGGAGGGCTGAGTGAAGAAAGGCAGACTATGTGTAGTACAGCAGCTCCCTTTATGTAAGTAGACTGAGTTGATGTATGTCAACTAATGATTAACAAAAATAGAAGTTAATAGCATTTGAAATATGTGCCAAGTGCTTGTGGGTCATCCTTGACACTCATAAGCCAGAAGAGAAAAGACAGAAGGTGGTGTGTTTCTTGCCAGAGCAAAAAAATAAAAAATAAAAAATGACATATTAGAAAGAAGAGATGTGATATGCACTTGAAGGCACTAACCCAGTTCCTGCAGAGGCTGCAGCGGAGCTTGAGCTGTGGGAATCAGGATATCTGCCAGCTGCTCTGAAAGATCAGCTCCATCAGGGTCCTGAGATGCTTACATAGAAAGGGGTACAATGTATAGCCTTGTGTTTCCATAGAAATGCACCAGATATTTTTTCTTTGGACATATTAATATTTCTGTCCCCTTTGCCCCTCTGGTATGGAATCCAAGGTAGTTTACGGAGTCCTCCTTCTCTCCATTTTTATCCCCATGTTAAGCTGACAGTGACTGGCCCAAAGTCTTACAGTGAGCTCTATGGCCAGGGAGAGACTGGAATCCGGGTCCCCCCAAGTCCCAGTCCAACACTCTTGTCATTAGGCCCCACTGGCTCTCTTTTATGCCACTTCTTAGATGACTTTCAGGAAATTATTTCCATAAAATGTGGTGATCAGCTCCATTCACAGGAGACTCCTTCAGAGATGAATGCCAGTTCTCTTCTGTATCCTGCTGGTCTCCCAACAGCCACATTCCCCTCTCGGAAGTGACAGTCTTGGGGCACATGGCTTTTCTCCTCTTTTCTCTCAGGTAGAAGAATGTTCTGCTTTCTGTCTCCTCTCTGCAATGGCTTGAAGGCTGGGAGACAAAATGGCAATAGTGACCAGTCCAGGTTTTCTGATTTCCGCTGCTGCCTTTAAAATTGTGACATTTGGTCTAAATAACATGTTTCTGCCCTGACACACCAAACTGGGAGATTGGGTTTCAAGAAAACCTAGCACCAGCTGACAACAGCATCTCATGAATTTGTATTTTATTAATGGAATTATTTGGGTCTCAGCTTAAGGTTTGTTTGGCATCTTTCTTCTGCTATATATTAACTTGAGTATTGCCCCAAATCTCTTTAAATGGAGAAACAGTTTTTCCTTTAAAAAACTGAAAAAATAGGGAAAGGATCTGAAATCTCTCTGGGGAGACAAAAAGCGGCCTTTGGCAGTACAGCCTGGAAGGACTGTGGGAATGCTGAAGTTGTATTTGCTAAGATTATACTTAAGACGTACATTTATTGCTGATGCTTTCCCTTTCTCCTCAATATAGTAATTCTAAAAATATGTTGTCTGTAGTGTGTCAGGAGTAATAAATATATTTAAGTCCTAAGAGAGTGATTACATCTTAAGAACTATTCCTCTGAAGGAATCTCTTTAGGGATCATAGAAGAATTAGAATTTTTGCTAACCCAAGGAAATATTTTTATTCTGTCACTAATACTGCTTTTCTTGTTTTCCTCCCTTTTGGCTAGGACATGTATACCACTGAGAGATCTTCTTGGACAAGACACCTTAGGTTAATACTGGTCTGGGACTATATGCAAAGAAGCTACCAGTCATGAGTAAGTATATCTTTTTGGGGAGCATATCTGAGGCTCAGGGAAAACCGCATGTTAGTTTTGCTACCTCTTGAACACAAGCTGCTGCTTCTGGTGTTGTCTTTGAAAGCTTCCCTGTCATACCAACATTGTAAATAAATGAGGATGGGTGTTAGAATAGGGGTATAATCTACCCAGAAATGCTTCTCTCCAAGCACTGTTGAAATGAATGGGAGTTGCGCAAGAGTGTCATTTCCAATCCTTGTGATCGCAGAGATAAATAAAAGCATGTAACAACAAAATTTCCAGTTGAGTACTGAAAAGTAATGGTGACATCCTGACTTTGGAATGCCGTCTTGATGGAGAAGCATGGCTGAAATAGACATTGTATTTCTTTTGCTTCAGGGTAACATGTTTTTATTTGCCAGGAAATCTTAGATTACTGTATTTTGAGCTGGTTGCATAGCTTTACTTCTCTCCATTGTTTGAATTGAATTGTTGAGTGTTCAATATCAGATGGATTTTAAATACTTATGTATACTTTCCTGAAATCCATTTTGGATGAAGATGCAGCTTACAATATTTTTTTTAATAAGCTGCCCATGCTTGATCCTCTGACTCTTTTTCTGATTATGGGGGGAAAATCTGCTTTCTTTCTGGAAGACAATTTTGAAAGTGTCTGTTTATTATTTAGGATGTTTATTTCTTATGTGTCAGTTTTATGTTGTTTATTTGTCTGTTACGTGTTAAGGAATCTTTTGAATATAAATATTGCTAACTCATGTATTTCACAAGTTATACCACAACATTTGAGTGTGTATCTTTTGCTTTTCCACTCTAATGATCAGCTGACTGAGTCAGTTATGGTTCTGAAAACCTAGTCCCAACCTCCATGGTAGAATTTCCATTGCTGCCATAGCGTGGCCCCTTTCCTTGCTACTTGGATATATGAGAAATCTGCAGTCTGGTGGGGTGTGTCTGTCCTGAGGTTCCTCCTCTCATCAGCACTGCTGTCCTGAGAAAGAGGATGCTTGCAAAGGGTGATGTGCAGCAGAGGCATCCCGCTTGGCTTGTGAGCTGCCAAGGAAGGAACCAAGGTTGTTGCTCGGTTCCCCGGCTGCTCAAAGTAAACCTGGAACAAAAGTGGCGGTGTCAAGTCCACTTGCCTGGCCGTAAGAAATGGATTGTAAGCTGCCTTTTCCTTGCCAGCCCTGGATAATTTCTCTTGTCTTTGTCTCATCCTCAGTGTCGTGAGCAGGTCACTTCCCTCTTTCCCTCTCCAGCAGACTGAAATGAAACCTTTTAAGCGCAGTTCTTTTATTAAAAGTTAACTGGTTACAGAACAGTATAAATCCAATGCCACATTCTCTGATACGTTGGAGAAGCGTCTGCCCTGTGAAGAGCTGAAATCAGAATTGAAACATTCCCTTCTTCTCTCCCTTTCTGAAAAGCTTCTGACTCTTTCCTTGGGGGGCTCCTGCTGCTTGAGGGCTGGACAACTGGAACACTAGACACTTCTTCATTGGTCTGCTCACTTCACCTGTCTTCTCCTGACGAGGTCAAGGAACTCCCCCTGCATCCCCACCCACTCCAGCTCTAATGTGTCTCCTTCCCTTTCTTAGGAAGGCTGATTTTCATGTTCTGCCTAATAAATTTCTCTAGGTAACCTTGAAACCACCAAGACCTTTGCCCCTGTTTGACCTTCTGCCACCTTCTCTGCACTGGGTGGAGCTATTTGAGCAGTCTTTAATGTGTGCCCTGTTTCTGCTCTCTTCCATCTTGCAAGCGTGGTCCATCTCTTATGGTCCAACTTTGGCAGCCTACAGGTGTGTGTGTATGTGTTTGCTCGCTTATTTTCTGGGGTGGAGCAGAGTTTATCCGCTTGGCATACTAGCTGCAGTGGGCTACACGACATCTTATTCTGAATACATTTCCTGTGGAATGAAAGATCTTTGGCCCTCTGAAGCTGGGTACATTGTGTTGGTGAGGGGGTGGGTGGGTGGATAAATAATGAGAGACGCCTCTGTCTCATTTTCCTTTCTACTTGGAAGCATAGCTGCTCTGTCAAAAGAAACATAATCCTTGACATCAAAATGAAATTGGAATAATCATGCTTAATTTGCTGGTTGCTGCATATAGAATTGAAGCAAAGCAGGCACATAGGGCATTTCTCTTGGCAAAAACTATATTTTCAGGAAAGGGTAGAATAGGAGGCACTGTTCGTCGGGTGGGGGCAAGCCTTTCAAAACACTTTCTGCTATGGAATCAAATTTCACCCTGTTTTGTAACCTTTTGTTTAAACAATACATTAAGAGTGTGTAAGAGCTTGGTCAGCCCAGTTCTTTCATGGAAAGGTCAACTGCTTATATGTTATCGCTGTTCCTGCAGTGACAAATTGTGTGGCACTGTGCTTCGTGGAGTATTTATATATTATTTGAAAATTTTAATAGCATACTGCATGTCCAATGAAAGCATTAACAGCAAACGTTTTGACAAACTGAATAATGCAGCAGCAAAGATGTTTCCAGGGTTGGTCTTGTCATGGTTTATAAACGTCGTCTTAAAGATAATGGCATAAAATAGAGGAATACGGGTTAAAAGAAAAAGTGCTGTCATCTGCCAAGACTGAGAACTTGAGTATGAAGTTTCTCCCTGTTTTTCAGGGCTCTTTTACATATTGTCTAGTCATTTTACTCACCCAGAGATCCATACTTAGCACTGGCCAGAGTTCTTGTGATTCCAACATAATTCGAAACAATGATCTAGCTACAGAACTAATCCCTGCTTCTCCTGGAGACGTGTACAAAGATGCTGCCTTAATCATGGATTTATGGGGATAGGTGCAGCATTTAACCACAGCTAATGGCAATCATGCTCTGAGAAAATCATTTTTGTGAGTGATGGTTGGAAGAGAAGAGTATGCTTCACCTTGAGAAGAAAAGAATAAGGGCAGATGTGATAATTATTTTCAAATATCTGCATGACTGTCTTATGCAAGATGGGGTGGATTTATTTTCTGTTGCTCCAGAAGGCAGAGCTAGAACCAGTGCATAAGAACTATAAGAAAGCACATTTTAGCTGCACTGTAAGAGCAAGTTCTTGAAAATGAGAGCTATCAGTAGGCAGTGCGCTGTTGACAATATCCAATAATACCTTGGCAGGCACCAGGAAACGTGTTTGGATCCTTTGGTGGTCTCAGGCACCAGGTTGGCTCTTCCTGGGCTGGATCTGAAATTCAGGGGCCTTTCTGACTGTATGAGAAAATTGTATCAAGGAACAGAGGTGGCTGAAACCATGCAGGGGCCATTCTGATATGGCCTGTGCTATACATCTCAACCCAAGTTCCACGTGAGAAGCTTTCTTTAGCTTTTCAAAGCTTGGCTCTTGTTCATGCTTTTGAAAATCAAAAGCAAAACTTTTAACCTCATTCTGAAGACTGACACATAATGTCATTGCTAATAGTTGATGCTGTGCAGTATCTCAGTCACTGTTGCTATCTACGAAGAACACTTTCTTTTCTACCCAGCCAAGAATGCTAAAGCTAACTCTACAAATTACAGTTCTAGGCATCACTTGGAGTATTGGTTTTGACTTCCGAGACATTAACTGTATTGGGTTTCATGCACCGAAAGACTGCCAGCCCCGATATAAGCCTGAGTGGGGTGGTGTAACGTGGTGTCCTGCAACAGCAGGGGTTGGACTCGACGGCCTTCATGGCCCCTTTCAGCTCTACTGTTCTATGATTCTAAGCCTGTCTGGTAGCACTGACCTTTTCATTGGAAACCCTTCCTGTAGAGTCACTGGGAGAATTCTTTAAAAGTGTGTGCTGAGGTGTCACCATTAAGTGGACAGTACTCAGTTCTGTCTTTCATCTTTATACAACCCAGTGATGTTGTGGAACTCTTGGCCCAGCCCTTGAAGGTAGTCTGGTTAGTGTACCCCCCCCCCCTCTCTCTGCAGGCCTTACTCATGTTCTCACAATGACACTGTGATTTGATTCCTGTATTGCACTCTATGTGGGATAACTGTTAAAGGTAGCTTGGGAAATTCAACTGGTAGAGTGTGTGGCTGTTTGAGTGCTGGTAGGTGCCAGTGGGTGGATCATGGGGGAACCTCTGTTATACTGGCTGCAAATGGTTGCTCGTACATTTCCGGGCTCATTTGAAAATGAAATCCTGCTGGCATTTTCCATCTGAAAAACATAAAATATTCATTTGGCTTGGAGAACAAATCTATGTGAATTATTGCTATTATTTTAATTGTTTTAGTGTATAGTGTACTGTGTTGCAGTCTACCAGATACCATAAAATGCAGAACTGAACAGAACTCTGCTGAAAATATGTGATTTGCTTGTGGACAGTTCCAGGGTCAATCTTTGGCATCTCCAGTTAAAAGGACTGGGCTGCTGATGATATTCAAACCGAATCAATAATTCTTAAAAAATAAAATAAAATTGGGTTTTTTAACATTTAAATTGGATTTTTAAAAAATACCCCCTCTGCTTTTTGAGGAAAAATCTATCTAAAATTAGTTTTCTATTTAAGGCAGGTTGTATTCCAAAGGTTATTCATCATGAAATAAGGATTAGTTTTTAATTATGTAGCATGAGGCTGCATATTCATGCATTGTTTAATTTTTTTGGTAAATTAATCCATTCACAATGTCAGAGTTTTTCTTTCTGGAAGATAATGTCACAGATGCTCGATTTTACAGTTCTCAGAACTGTGAATTTGTGCTGCAGAGATCACATGCCTCTTCTTCACAGCAAAAATGTTATAAAATAAACATGCAGGATTGAGAAAAAGACCTTAATCCCATTGCTCCTTTGCAAATCTATGCACACAGAATCAGCCCCTAACCTCTTAAGTTCTAAGTTTCAAAAATATCAATGAATAGAAGAAGCTTGTTGGGAAAGGAATAGATCTGCAGAAGAAGCTAAGTGCGAAGAGGGTGGGGCTAGCAGTAAAAATCGACGTGAAATCTTTTAAGCAGAACACTTCACAAGTCTTTGGATCTTTTTGTGT